AATACAAGAAGGGAAGCAACGCATCTGTAGCCACAAAGAATATCAAAGAAGTTTATGAAAATGTTTTGAACGTTCGAAAGTGTCAACGATGGTTCAGCAAATTTCGTTCAGGTGACTTTAGCCTTAAAAACTGCGATGGCAGGGGCCGACATGTTGGAATGGATATTGATGCTCTGAAGACGCTTGTTGAGCCTAATTCAAGGTGACACACTCGTGAAATGGTCCTGAAATTGCATGTTTCTCATGAAACAATACATAAACATATAAGGAATACGGGAAAACTCCACAAAGAAGGTGTTCGGGTGCCTCGCGAACTCTCCGATGATCATCGTTTCTAACGTGTGAACTTTGCTTCGTCTTCACGAGTAATGCGTGTGAACCATTTTTGGACAGAAGTGTCACCGATGATGAAAAATTGATTCTCTATGTGAATATTAAACGCCAAAAACAATGGCTCAGTCCTAAACAAAAAAAAACACTTCCGACCCCAAAACCTGGACTCCATCCGCAGAAAGTGATGCTTTGCATTTGATGGGACATCAAAGGAGTAATTCATTTCGAGCTCCTCAATCCTCAATGCAGAGATCTATAGTCAGCGACTGAGGCGTTTAAATCAAGCCACTCATCAGAAATTCCCTTCACTCGTCAGTCGGAAAGGTGTTCTTCTCCACGACAATGCACATCCACATGTGGCACGTTTGACGCAACACAAGATTATGGAGTTGGGTTGGGAAATTGTTCCTCATCCACCATATTCACAAAATATGGCACCATCAGATTACCATCTTTTTCGTTCGCTGCAACACCATCTTAATGGGAAAACGTATGCAAATATGGAAGGTGTTAAAGAGGACATGGACATGTTTTCTGCTTCAAAGCCAAGTGATTTCTTTAATCAGGACATTGAAAACCTGATTGTAAGATGGAAAAGCATCATCGATAAGAATGGAGACTATTTTATTTAATAAATGTTTTGTCTTTGATGTACAAGTTGTTCTGGTTTTTTCATCTAAAAAAAGGGACATTAATTTCTTGACGATCTAATATATAAGTATAACTCTCTTCTTACTTTCGTTACTCTACATGCTATGTATAAGATTGAACCAACGTATCTATATAATGTTAGTTATTTCTTCTCTGACTTGCGGTGTAGAGAAGATTGTTCACTTACTTGATTATTTGGATCTTAACTGCTCTGGGTTAAACCATTTTGTGAAATTTCACCCTCATCATTAGCAAATAATACAACATTCTTCTCTAAGCCTTTGAGCAATAAAAGGGAACCGAGCAGCCAACAAACACATTAACATTTTAATAAGAACGATCCTAGATATTATTTGAAGAGAGCTTATCTATACTTCTCTATCTCTTTAAATACGTGTGCGTGATGGCAGTGCATTCATCTCTGGAACATAATGTAGAATAAACCTATCATTGAGTTAATCAATAGTAGTCTGTAACTTAACACACAGGCAATGCATATAATGAGAGAGTACGCTGTTATTTACTATATTACAGATTTTCTCTAGAATGTAGGCAGAAGTGGGGTTGTTTTGCCGTCTAAATTTAAATGTTTCTATATCTTGAAATATATCATTGTCACACATGTTTGTTGTATTTTTTTGCAAAAAGCTACACAACGGACTATCTGTAATGTGGTCACATCGATTATCAAAATCTGATTTTTGGCGTTTTAAGTCTTCAGGCATTCCGCTGAACCACTGGGGAGACTATATGCTTAAAATGAATGAACAAAGAGGAGCTGTGTTTTGAATAACACAATGATATAAATGTAATGACATAGAGAATAATATTGACAAAATAAAACCGAAACGCTTTTTTTTCTAAATAAATTGTACAATGCTTCGTATACATTTACTTTAGTCACGTGTAGTGCAATGACTAGACTGATTTAAAAACTCGTTTTTATTGCTAATTATTGTTCTGACAGTGTTGTTACAAATAGGAAAGAAACGAAGGAAAATTATTTACACATCCTACTGCTAGAGGACGCTTCAAACCATCGCGAGAGACAGGGGTTGTTGGTGAGGTAGATGCGTCATATTAAAAGGCCGACTCCCAGATAACGCCCAGCTTCACCGATTTTTCCCGCCTGATCTGTTATTGCATGAAAAAGGTTTATGAAAATCTTGGTTTGATTAGATTATGACAACTTATTCGCTGGTTAGATTTGTAAGATTCAAAACTGAATATCGTTAGAATAATCTGCGGATGTGTTAAAAGCGTTATTTTTATGAATTTATTTTTGCATGAAAAAAAGGGGAAATTAATGCTCTTCTGATGAAGTTACATGATTCGAATACAAAAAGAAAAATATCTAAATTTATAAACACTTGTTTCAATAAATAGTAGGTGACTAGAAGATATAGCTTATATAATATTTGACAGCCTATTCTGCCTGTATCAGGGAGAGTCTCGCTACAAAATTTTATTTTTAAAGTGTTTATATCTTGGAATCATATTTCATGTAAAACCATGAAGTAAAATACAACTAAGAGACTTGAGAAGTGAGACTATTACTATTAGGACTTCAGCTACAATGTGCAGTTTATTCGTCCAAGAGAAGACACAAACTGTGCTATGAAAGAAAAACTAAGAACCTTGAATGATTGAATCACTATTTACCTAATTAGACATTCTGTTTTTACTCTGGTCATCAGAGGGATGCAAATGAAGTGCAGGTTTGTTTAACCTGCGTTACGGGTAAGATTGAATATTTCCTGTAATAGTAAAGTCTGATAAAGTTTAAGAGCTACTAGTACAAGCTATCTAATGTACATATATAAAACATCTAAGTTACGTAAAAATAACTGGTAATAATTTTACTGCTTTTATGAGACTATTTAAAATGTTTTTACTATATGTAACTTATAGGTACGAGTACATGTTGGCACATTTTCTAGTTTATACTATTTGTTTAAAGTCTCTGTGTTTATTTAAATTTAATGTTTAAACATGTTTCGAACAATTTATACGTGTAGTAACGAGACGGAAAATATTAAAATAGGCAATTTATATGCACAGGAAGGAAGACAAAGCCATCTGGCTTCTTGTACTGTGCATATACGTTGTCTGCGAAACGAGAAATAGTGTTAAAAGTTAGTTTCATAGTTAATATACTTTCATCTAAAATGCATAATTTAATGTTAGCTGTCATATTATTTATTATTAACCCTTAAATCCTCAAAGTTTATGTCAACGTTTATCTTCCTGCCATTTCTTACGAACTCGCCGCTATTTATAATACTTTGTTACATAAATGTATTACTTTATACACTGAAACGGTTTTCACGATTTTGTTAACTACATTTTAATAGAAGAGATCTTAGAATCAACCAGCTCAAAAGAAACAACAACATTTTGTTTCTTTTTTGTGAAAAACGTTGAAGACAACAACCCCTCTTGGTACACGATAACTTATGGATTGGAAGGTTATAAATCTAAGTTAAAACTACGCATTATTTTGTATAATAAACTTTAGTTAAAAGAACAGATGAGTGTATTTAAATATAAAGGTCCATGTATAATAATGCAGATCAAATTAAATGAAAATCATGAAGCATATCAAACTAATATTTTACTCCTTAAACTTGATTGACTACACGTTCACTAGGTTTAAAAGAATAAATTAAAATAATACTTGTGTAATTGGTTCAAGTATCATCAAAGATCGCTTCTAACGTCATTTATTATACCTATAACATGCTTTACTAAAAAAAATATATAAGAACACGTTAGTGCAGTTAACAAATATGTTTGTAGTCTTCTGGTAAATATGTGATGTTTTCTGTGCATTGAGAAACCAATAGCGATAGTAATAGCGATAGTAATCTCTAAACTTTGATTCGGTTGATGACGTGTTTGTTTTTATCATTGGGCAGAAATTACGCTAGGCTTAATAGCTCAGAATAGCTTATGTAACGATATAAAGTGAATGTAAACATAAAAAAGCATCTAGAAGGCACGGAAAAGAAAGTAAAACCTAATCGCGTTTAGCTTGGAAAACTCAGTGAGATAAGTAAGTTTTGGTATTATGAAATATTGTTAGAATGTTATTAAAACTTTTGCACCTTTGGTGTTGAAAGGTCATAACTTTCTTGCGGTTTAGAAACAAATGAAGTTGTTTAATAGATTTTAAATTTTATCTAATTAAAAAATGTAGGTATGTGGAAGTATGTTTCATTAGATGATATTGTATTGGGTTCAAATTAAAAACGTGACAATATCAACTCTTCTTTTATATCTTGAAACTATGGAGATATCGACAGATATCCAACTTACTAGGCTAACATGTCCAACTTGTGGTTTTTCGGCCGACGTCACCAGCAAACAACCCAAAACCAACCAATGACACGTCCTGACGCTGTTGCAGAAGTGGAGATGTCTTATGTTCGTTCCCACCAAGGAAACAGGGCGCCGTCTAGCGGTTGCAGTGATTACGTACCACCTCTTTCTCCCAGGAGAAGCCTGGAGTCGCGATTAGGACATTTATCTGTAGCAGATAGCTTGGATAATGTTGCCCTTCATATTCCAAGGTTAATACCAGTTTATCACCTCTAAAAGTGACCTTAGACTGGAAATTATGAACATAAGGAACTGTATGAATTCAAAATTACATCTACAAATTAATTGTTAATTGGTAAAATCAGTTGAACTTGACATATAAAACAGTGTGAATATTAATATACTGTTATATGTATATTGACTTCTTGTCCACCATGTATTTTTCCGTGCAGACAAATATGTACCGATTAAACTATGTATCTTCTTGTAACAGACAGTGTCTTGCGAGTTAACAAAACTGATAGTGAATTAACGTATTGATGAACAGATTTAACGGCGTTTATTTTAGGTTTGATCTGGTACGGTAGTTCTATTTTAACTCTCATATTTGTGTTTTCACTAATCATAGGTATAAACTCTGCTCTTAGTTTCGGTAAACTATAAGCATTCTTGCATGATGGTGATGTCAGATGGCAACTGCAACAACAAACACTATATCTTATGACATATGTTTCCATTACATGTCATAGTGCTGGGGAATATACATTAAAGTAAGACAGTTTAGCTTAGATCACGTACTTTTTATACCTAGAAGAAAGTTCGTTTTTTTTTTCATCTCAATAAATTCATGAAAAAACAAAACAAGACTTGTCTGTGATAAAATTTTCATCCGGTTCTGTTACTGTATGTCCTTCGTAGTAATAAATAAATGTCACGCGTTAAAACTGAATTCCATTCCTGTATCTGTTTCATAGTAATAAATAACGAAAACAATGTCAAGCGTTAAAACTGAATTCCATTCCTGTATCTGTTTCATAGTAATAAATAACGAAAACAATGTCACGCGTTAAAACTGAATTCCATTCCTGTATCTGTTTCATAGTAATAAATAACGAAAACAATGTCAGGCGTTAAAACTGAATTCCATTCCTGTATCTGTTTGATAGTAATAAATAACGAAAACAATGTCAAGCGTTAAAACTGAATTCTATTTCTGTATCTGTTTCGTAGTAGTAAATAACGAAAACAATGTCAAGTGTTAAAACTGATTTCCATTCCTGTATCTGTTTCATAGTAATAAATAACGAAAACAATGTCACGCGTTAAAACTGAATTCCATTCCTGTATCTGTTTCATAGTAATAAATAACGAAAACAATGTCACGCGTTAAAACTGAATTCCATTCCTGTATCTGTTTCGTAGTAGTAAATAACGAAAACATTGTCAAGCGTTAAAAGTGACAAAGGGCTTATTTAAAAATCGCAGGTAGCCACACAAGTAGATAGATTGATATTAAAATAGTCAATATGTCTTATTTCTTTCCTTCAGTACGAACTAAAACTCAGATTAATCTACCGCTAATAAGGCCTAATAAAACAGTTAGTGTAAATTGTGATTAAATGAATAATACTCACACAAAGTAAAAATAAAGTTCATTTTGAAGATAAACAAATGCCTTTTAATTCAATTTACAGCTGAAGTCTAATATTATCATGCTAATCATTAATGATAACGATTAAAAACTAAGCTAAACTACTGGTGAATGAACGATTGAAACATTAAGTTCTTTCTAACATAATTTAAGCTCTGTCAGTTTGCAGACCATCATTGTAAAATGCGCTGAAGTCTTTGTATATACAGTGGTCGAATCGGTACTGCAACTTTATCCTCTCAGATATAATTTTTCTTTAAATTCATTATGTTTAGATTGGTTAAGCAATATCATTACTGTCATTGCACAAGTTATACTGGACAATTTATTTTATATTTCGTAATAATTATTTTGGGAAGATATTTAACAGTTGAAGTTAGATTGATATGTTTTGAATCGTATATCTAAACTCCATGTAAACAAATAATCGTATACCTAAACTCCATGTAAACAAATAATCGTATACCTAAACTCCATGTAAACAAATAATCGTATACCTAAACTCCATGTAAACAAATAATCGTGTACCTAAACTCCATGTAAACAAATACTGTAAGGAAAATTATTATGATTGTTATTTACACTAAATAACACGTATAATGTACAACTCGGAATAATGTAACAAATATCAGGAATCGCTTTAAACTATTGGTTTCTATGCACGCAGATAACCGTTTGTATTTTTTTCGTGTTTGTAATCGCTCGAGTTTTTAAAACTATTAATTGTTTTACATTATTAAAACACAGGTGTAGATTTCATATATTTGTTGCTTTCTAGGAAACCGTAATAGTTAGTTCGACAAGCCTCTTGATTTTCCCAGAATGCTACTAGTATTAATAACTTCTATAAACTTACGAGGAAAAAACATTTACTAAAACTGAAAAAAAACAAAACATGAATAATACGGATACTATGAATACAACTCAACAATTGCAGTTAACAGTAAATATAAAATCATGTTTAAGTTAGATAATTATGCAGAAAACACATTATTAGGATGTGTTGGTAATACCTCACGATTTACATTACAAACCTGATAAGTTACTGCAAAGACAAGTATTGATTAGAAAGAATGATCTCGTTGTTAACAATGTCTTCAGTCATGAACCACAAAAACCTCACGAGGATCAGTCAACTCGGAATATTTTAACTAGGACGCATTGAAATTTAATTAACAAAGTTAAATAAATACATAATTCCTTGGAGTTTATGTTCTAAAATCTTTGGCAATGTGTTTAGTGCACTATTTGAAACTGTTCTGAACTATAAATTTGTTTTGGCGTTCTTATAATTTTACAAGTATCCTTATCTAACAAGTCTTGATTTTTTTCGACCGTGAAAAATATAACATTTTTAAATGTATATAAAAAAAAAGATTTGATTTATATATATATATGTTGCTTAAAGGCTGGGATAAGATATTTTCTACAGATTATCTCTCCCAATATATCATTTGCAAATACACTCAGGTAGGAAGTATCTCTGTTACAGCGTGACTATTTTTAATGCCTGGGAAAAGCGTTTTAAGCAATTTATCTGATCTAACACAAAATTGATAATCTTGAATATTCTTATGTACTCATTCTTATGTGAGTATTATTTTGCTAGGTACATCTAATTGCTAATGAACCTTTCAACTCGCAGGTGGGGTCTACATGAAGTATTAAAGTAAATGGTAACGAGGTGATAATTATAATTAGGCCTAGCATCGAGTGCATATGTGTGTAGTCACCGGAATAGGTTAAAAGGGATTTTTGTTTGCACGAAGCTGCAAAATAAGCTATCTGTGCTGTGCCCACCGCAGTGATCGAATCACAAATTTTAGCGTTATATTCTTTAAGCTTACGGCTGAGATACCGAGCGCTTGCTACTCATAACATGTAATGTACTCACGTGAGTGAATACAATAAGCTCTACGAGGAATATGCGATTCTGTAATATTTGCATTTTCATCCCTACCCTAATGGGCAAGGAAGCAGAAGATGAAAAACATCTGTTTATCTAGGTCAAACATGCTAATACAGCTTGCATGTAAAATACAACTTAAACATAACTATATAATATGAAATATGAAATAACTACAAATATAAGAAAATGTATACTGTTCCTATAACAAGAGGGGAAAAATGATACAATGGCATAAAACTACTTATCTGAATTCAGAATACTGCGGAATCTCCATAAACAAATAAGAGATACAAAGGCATCTAAAATCCGGAGATTTCTAGAATTATCTAAAACATTTAGAAACTATGTTTCAAATGTCATACAAGTAAATATATCAGTTTTAGTGAAATATTTCTTCAGGTAGTAACGTTAGCATGTCCAGTGCTATATAATAAGTCTTTCAAATTAGGGTCTTTGCTTTTGAAAACAACATATTTGGAGACTGAATTAGGAACATTCTGCTTTTCTCACAGTTAGTTACCTTTTTTATCGTTAGACTACTTTTATATATATATATAAATTTTCGAACACTAGCGAGCCCGATATGTAAATAAGAACTAAAATGATTTAAACTAAATTATATTAGTTTTACTTGACTGTAATTCTGTATTAATAGTCAATAAAATGCATAAGTGTAAATTGTTAACTGCATGTATTATAATACGAAAAAACAATTATTAAATTTTACACTAATCCTAATTTTTCACATGATAAACCAGTTAAGTAGCTTTAAACTCACAGTGGTAGCACAGTGTCAACTTGTTTATTGAATAGCTCTGCTATTAAAAGTATATTATCATTCCTGTTATGTCTTATGTGCTTTGGCCAACTTGGTAGCGTCAGATTAGACGTAAATGATATTGTAAGCCATTAGAGCAAATTCATCATTCCAAAAATTATTGCAAAAGTTCAATTATTTTTGGATGATTACATATGTCTACAATGGAATGGCATTGCCACATTATATACTGTCTTTTAGCCTCAGCGCCTAAGCGGATTTCTTTGTTTTAGAGAAAAGATACATTGGGCTATCTGCTGTGTCCACCGAGGGAATCGAACCCTCGATTTTAGCATTGTAAATTCGTAAACTTACCGTGCAAAACCACACGAGGGATATCTTCTCTAGCCGTCTCTAAGTTAGCAGTGAAAGACTAGAGACAAGGCAGTTAGTCATCAACACCCACCGCCAACTCTTGGGCTATTCTTTTTACCAACGAATAGTGGGATTGACCGTTACATTACAGCGACCCCACGGCTGAAAAGGTGAGCATGTTTGGTGGGACTAGGATTCGAACCGCGACCCTCAGATTGCGAGTCGAGCCACCGGGAGGACGGCTGAGTAAGTAAGGTAAAAGACTTATTACGTGAAAAATTCGAATTCGATACCCTCGGTGAGTACGGTGCAGATAGTCCATTATTTACCTTAGCGTAGGCTCCATATCGCACCCCTCTCCCCCAGTGGCACAGCGGTACGTCTGCGGACTTACAACGCTAGAAACCGGGTTTCGATACCCGTGGTGGGCAGAGCACAGATAACCCATCGTGAAGCTTTGTGCTTAATTACAAACAAATAAAATACGTAAATATATATAGATAAAACTACTTAGAATTATTTGAACATTTTTAAAACCGTATACAGAATAATTCAAGAT